AATATCGCACAGCCGCGTAAGCAAATAATTCACGTCGAAACGTAATTCACACCTGTTTGCAACATTAAAATTAAACGTTTCAAATAAAATTATTTGCCCGCTTCTGTATCAGTCGAATAATGCAACGAAATGGATCATTCTCGTTCGATAACTTCTACAAGTTGTGTATTCGAATGAAAAAAGCCTCTTTTGTATGAATCGCCTCATAAACTCACCAAAGACAAGAGGTAGCATCTTGCCTCGGATAATTGAAGAAGCGTTCGTACTCCCTTTCCCGCGATAACTTTGTAAGGATGCTTCAAAAGCGTTGGTTCAAGGAAAACGCTGCAAAACCGGGATTTCTTCGTATTTAAAAGTTTCGTCTTTTAATATTTCAAGAGTGTACACGTGTATAAAGTATCCGTTTCCACGTCCCCTTTTATCCAACCTCACCATACTACGGCGAAGAGGAGTTCAAACACACATTCTCCACGTTATCAGCTTTATGCTTGCTGCCCTACTTTTCGACTGGCCCGCGAACACGTTAAATGGTCGCAGTTTACGAACGAGCTCGTTTAGCTTTTCCAATTTTTTCGTCCTTCGTCCTATTCTATAGTTCTACGACAAATAAAGGTTGAGATCAAATATTGAAAGGAAAACAAGTACTGAAAAAGTTTCCTCGCTTTCGTGTGATGGGCTCTCGCATGTGCCAACGTTCGCCAAGATTCGAACACATGTCTCTTCGGTTACCTCCTAGGTCTCCTCCATGAACAGTCAGAAAACCTCCTAGATCACAAGCCTGAGTTCTAAACCGTTCAAGGATGTAAGTTTTCCTTGCATACGTTCGTCTAAAGACGATTTCATAACACCCTCGCTTAGTAGGCGTTCATTTTCGTGAACGTCCAAAGTCCAACGCACGTATCGTCGGCGGCGTTACTGGACAAAAGGGTAATTTGTAATCACTAATTACATCCAGTTAAATCTGACGTGTTCGCCCCGAAACTGGTGGTACGTATGACGTTATCCCTCTCCCTCCATTAGGTTGCAGCTACCACCCTCCAGGCTGCGTCCCCTTTAGGCTGGCCCGTCGGAACACGGTATGATTAGTACGAGCGATAAGTCGAGACGTCTGGCGTATTCTCACCGCGTTATCTGCCTGCAATTAGTTGCACGTAATGACACGTAATTAAGACAAAAAGCTCTCGAACCGACCCGTGTACTACAGAGTCCTTTGCCTCGTCTTTCGAGAGCGGTGGACCCTTTCGAAACGTGAGATTGTTGTGCTGAGAGATTCTACCTTGAGGGAACGTTCTGACGCTAGCAACATTATTCAAAGGATTTCGGGGACTTCGCCTAGGTCCACCATAGACAGTAGTTGCGATTACTACCATTTCCTATTGTACGCAGTGCTGCCGTAGTACTGTATAATCAAATCTTTGGAATACAACTTGCAAACGAAAAAAATTTAGTTGCTCTAACTCGGAATTATGGGTCACCGACAAGAAGTGGTATTACGTCACGGATGAACTTGTCTGGTCTCAGAAAATGTTTCAAAATTGTCCGAATCCCCGTCTTCCTTAACTTTCCTTATCACAGGCATTTTATGGTACACTTCGCGAAGTACGTTTGCGGCTCGAAATGAAAGTTGTGTAGTCGTTGAAGGAGATAAGTCACCGTGGTCGTAAAACAAGGGAAACGTGGAAAAGAGTAGCAAGAAGGGTGGACTGAAAAGAAGATTAAGCAAAAACAAGAGTAAAGTAGTTCTTTTTTCTCTGATCCATCCGACATCAGCACCTGCAATCGGTAGCAGAAGCAGAGCTATCGGGCTTTAACTGTGCGCGACGATTCGATAAAATCTCGTCGATGCACCGTTACTGTATTTATGGTAATGTTAAAGTGACGGAATTAATATTCCCGAATGATGTTTGCTAGCCGTGGCAAAAATAATGCGAATTCATACGGATCCGTGCGCGTTTATTATTTTCACCGCAATTAATTGCCGATCTGATATACATGATAATGATAATGCATCGGGAATGTTCGACCATGCGAGTGTGCATTAATATGAATGACGAAAAAGAGCAAATATTCTACAAGCTCGTAGGAACCGTTAATGCGATTTCTTTGGTTTTAACAAGCAATTTTATCAATCATTTACCTTCAGTGTGAAAATATTACGATCTGCTATGCGAGAACATTCAATTATAATTTTTAAAAAATTATGAATTATTTTACGTATGTACAGATATAATTCTCTTTTTTCTATTTAACACAATTTAACTATTTAATTTTCATACGTAAATTATTCGTAGCCTTTTCTAAATACTAAACATCAAAAAATGATTCTTTTAATGATGCCAACGATCTAACCCTTATCGAAACCAGTCGCTAAACGAATCCAAGAACAGTCGAATGTAACTGTTCCATTGAATATTTCCCCAAAATTAAGACCTCCCTCGATTGTGCTTAGTTTCTGCAAGAGTGTCGCCAATTTATTAAGCACGCGCTGGCGACAATACGCGAATACTCAGTGCGTGTTTCCAGCAGGTGTGCTGGAACGCTCAAATAAATAATATCAAAACACGTTCGGAGGCTTTGATTCATTAAATAGTAGCTGGATCTCGTAATACAGCTGAAATGGAAATCGTGTAATGGGGTCAAGCGTGCCGGTGACCCCACGAGGTTAGTTCGGGTATTGCGAGTGCATAATCCATTCCTAATGACGTGCCTACTTTTAGCTTTAATACAGCTGACACGCCGCAATCGTGCTCGGCGAAGAAGATCTAGTCCACGCGTGTGCTTTCCACGCGTTTCGTGTTCAGATTAACATACGTATCGCGCTGGGTCTAAATTTCCGCTTCGAAACGAATTCTTGGGTACTCGTTTCGTCGACGCCCATTGTTCTACGAACGATTCGCCACAGTTACAGGATAAATTATTTTTTTAGACAGGTTAGACAGGTTACACAGACAGATTAGACAATTATTAATTTGCACAGTTTACTACTAATAACATCCTTTTGCTTTCCAATTAATAAAAACGACGATACTACCTATCCCGTTTCATATTTCAACAATCACAAAGACAACCATCCCCTAACCCCTCGATCTCCCAAATCTGAGATAACTTTTCTCGTTTCCTCGAATCGTGGCTGGTGTCTTCGTAGAAAATAACTTAGCCAACGAGGCCAGCATTAATGCAAATTACGTTTCACGATAAGCCCCTTTAATAAAACGTTTCTTGTTTATTATTTTCAGACGCCGCGGCGCAGCGCAGCGGCATCGACTGCGGTGTTCCACCTGCTGATCCTGGCTGGTTCGTTCGCTTTCGGCGCGGCCACGTTCTGTCCGAACGGTTGCATCTGCGACGACGATAACCTGGTGGTGTCCTGCATAGGAGCGAATCTGGACGTCATACCGATCGCTCTGAACCCGAGCATCCAGCGCATAGTGCTAAAGGAGAATCGGATAAAGGCGGTGGAGGCGGCGGCGTTTCAGTTCTACGGCAACCTAAAGAACGTCGATCTCTCGAGCAATCACCTCTTCACCATTCCCAACGGGAGCTTCGAGGCGCAGAAGCAATTAGTCGAGCTGCATCTCAGGCACAACAAAATCTCGGCGTTGACCGAGAAGACGTTTCAAGGTTTAAAGTCACTGACGGTGTTGAATCTGCGCGACAACTACTTGGAAAGCCTGAAGAACGGGCTGTTTGCGTCGCTGTCGAAGTTGGAAGAGCTCGATCTGGGGAAGAACCGTATATCGACAGTAGAGCCAGGTGCTTTCCAGAAATTGGGTTCGCTCAGAGTCCTCCATCTCGACGATAATCAGCTGAGGACCATCCCATCGCCTGCTCTAGCGCCTTTGAACGCCCTGGCGGAGCTGCATATAGGTTGGAACGCGTTCTCCTCGCTACCGAACGACGCGTTCAAAGGTTTGGAACAGCTGACCGTGTTGGATATCACTGGGGCGGGTCTGGACGTCATAGGGGATGGTGCTTTCCGCGGTTTGAACGCGCTGAGAACGTTGGAACTGGATGGGAACAAGCTGCGAGAAGTTCCGACGAAACAGCTGGCCGTACTGCCTCGACTCGAGGAACTCACCTTGGGCCAGAACTTTTTCACTACTCTGAGGTCTGGCGCTTTTCAAGGCCTCCCAAAGTTGAAGAAACTCGACATATCCGCGGCGAAGCTATTAACCACGGTGGAACATGGAGCGTTTTCTGATAACGCCAATCTGGAGACTCTTGTGTTGAACAGCAACAAGAGACTGACTACGATGGAGGACGGGTCCCTGGCCGGTTTACCGAACTTGAGGCATTTAATGCTTCGCGACAACGCTTTCACCGGATTCTCGGAGTCCCTGGTGGCCTGGAACGAGCTACGTCGACTGGATTTAAGCGAGAATCCGATGGTCTGCGACTGCAGCCTGATCTGGTTAGCGGAGGTGCTTGTTCCAAGGAACTCTAGCCCCGTGATATGCGCGGAACCGCCAGAATCGAAGGGAAAACCCATAAAGGGCATGACGCCAGACGAGCTAGGCTGCGCCTTCTCCGATCCCAGGAAACAAGCTTTGTTAGCGACGCTCTGCGCCGCTGGTCTCGCCTTTCTCACCGCGCTGGCGTTGATCCTCTACTACAGGTGTCGCAGACGCGTCAGGGACGCCCTGAAAGACTACAAGTGGAAGAATCGCGCGATCTCCCGCAAGGAGCACGAGTACCAGAAGACTTTCTCGGACGACGAGTACATCGTCAGGTCCGCGCATCCCCATCACCATCACCACCACCATCAGCCCCAGTCGCAGCCTATATCGACCCACCACCACCACCATCATCTTCAACAGCAGCAACAGCAGCAGCAACAACACTCCCAGATAGCGACTGGCATCAAACCGATACCTGTGACGGAGCTGTAGCTAGAACTTCGGGCGGCGAGCCCGGGAGCCGGCGGCGTTTGGTTCCTGCCTCACGGCAGCACCACCCTCGCCGAAGGCTTCACCTACATCGACGGTGAGACGGCGCGGCAAATGCGTCGGCCGGGCACGCTGCCCAACTCCGCCACGTCCGGTCACCGCTCCGCAGGCCCGATGGAGGACGGCTCGACGCCCCTGAGCATCGCCGCCGACAATTGCACCTCGACCGGCGGCAGATTGCATTACGCGAATCACTCTTTGCGCCGCACGCCCCAGCCGCCGCACCTACCCGCTCGCGACACCGAGAACAGCCCCTCGGAGAGGGCCCAGAACGACTCGCGGGTTCAAAACGGCGTACCAGGCGTGCACCACCACGCACCCCCGCCGCTACCGTCTAGACATCAACCCTCCTGCGGCCAGTCGTCTTATCCAACCCTGCCGATGAACGGGCACGCGACTCATCAATACCATCACTTTCCACGCGAGAAGGAGAGGTCCTCTGCTCGCGAAAGGAGCCGCGACCGCGACGTCGGCGTCCAGTCCGTCCCCCATCGGTCCGACAAGCACCGAGACGCCCAGATGGAGATGGAGATGCGCGACGGGATGGACATGGGCGACATCAGCCCGTATCGCGCGTAAGGATGGCTGCACCGTGGCCCGAATCGTAGCGAACGCTCTCGGACGAACGTCAACTGTGGATAGGCCGAGCGAATTGAACCGAAGACTGAACACGAACGTTGAACAGGGACGTCCCGAACTGTTAACGAGGCGCTTGTTTACGGTAGTATCGTCGTTACCGCGTGATATAATGGTAACGATCGAAGAAGCGGGGATGCGTTTCGCGATGGAATTGGGCGGACTCCCTTGGCGAATCGAATCGAAGACTGATTACGACAGACGTCGGCGTACGATATCGACGAACAATTAACCGATACAGGTACATTCCCGCCCTATACGGGCGCCTACGGTGCGCACCGATGAACACCGATCAAAATCAAATCTCGACGACTCCGCGCTCGTAAATCCTAACGATACCGATTGCAATGGTATGATATGGGAATTATGTTCCACCGTGAGCTCGTCTTACCCGTGTACGACTCACCGAGGCCAGCTAGGATGCGGTGGCTTGGGGAGGATTAGTCGTCGAATTGAGAAGGAATGATTGAAAATATCACAATGGACGAGGAGGAGACTGATTACGTGTCTCGAGTTGTTTGGGTACGCGTGTAATACGGCTGCAAAGCGGAAGAAGTTCACGGATGCGAAACGTACTCGAAGAATCGCGTCAAAGAGTCGAAATGGACACGGTATCGCGAGGACGGTCCCGCGTGGTGGCAACAATCGTCTTCATCTTGGAAGCAAAGACGGTAGCGAAGCTTTGAAACGTCCCCATGGAAACCACGGAAAGATGAAAGCGCGGACGATAAAAGTGCAACGCGAACTCGTGAAATGTCATCTGCCGAATGAGCGTGTCCAATCCTCGTAGGGACGCGTCGTTTGTAAACGTCACATTGACGCGGTGACAAGGCGGAACTATCGAATCGAAAGTCGAAAAGGGAACCGTCGCGTTTCTGCGTACTTGCGAACGATTCAATGAGCGTTTCTGAGAACAGACTGTGCAGCGCGATGGGAATCGTGGCGAATCCTCAACCGTCTTTCAGCTGCGAATAAGTGGTCTGAATAGAACGTTGTATTCAGGATATTCTGTTAATGATTTGGAGCCTCTCTTGCGTCGAACTCTTAGCGTTGCATTCGCCTGTGGGTATTTCGTGTTTTGTATTAATTGGTACAGTATCAACCCTTAGCAATTCAAGTCTTTTTTACATGCAGTCAGTCCCATAAATATTCGCACCCTCTATGTCTATTAAAGAAAATTGTTTAAATTAAATGGTAAGTAGGAAAAATTCATTTGTTTATATCAAAACTATTATTTAATTTAGTCAAACTTCTTCAATAGACATAGAGAGTACGAATATCTATGGAATTGCTTATATTTACTTCCTGTTAATGTATTTTTGAGTTTCCTTTTTACCTTTAAACTTATGATGCATATTCGACGACGCTGATTATGTCGAGATCGTCGAGTGGAACCTCGAGTTCGATAGTGCGTGCCCGTTCGATGAAACGGACAAAATTTTTCGGGCTAAGAAGGAAATGTTGAAGTTGACTGCAGCGCGATCGCTCAACCGAATGTTCCCCTGTCCTCCGCGAATCTATAACGTAATCGTGTAACGAGCTTTCTTCGACTGGAGGACTCTTTCGTGAAAACAGAGCTCAATCCTGGATATGAAGCTTTAACGGATAGAACGGGGTCAAAGTGACGTGCATTTTTCCTTCGAAACATCGCGTTTGATCGAATGCTGCAGTCGTCCGGCGTGCATCTTCCATCCATTCAAGTGTACACTGCACTCGGTCTCTGTTTCTAATTCGTCAAGCTTCGTTTGTTTTTAGTCTGTTATTTTAACTCTACAGCGTACAATTTCACGTGGAAGTCGAGTCAGCACCGAAGCATTTATCGTTAGCCGTCTCAGATTTGTTCGTTATGGTGGTCGAATCTCACTCTGACGTTCTAGAATGAAAATCCTGCGCATGCTGAGAAATTCGACTATTGGTAAATATAATAAATGAGATGCGGTCAAGATTCATAGAATGAATGTCCTGATGTTATTGTCTTCTAGATTAAAATACTTCGGTGTCCCGAAAGGTGCCATTTCACTAATTTATTACGAGTTCTCGATTTTATGATTTTATTTTATCAATGAAAACGGACACGAATGGTTTATAAAAATATCAAACCTTTGGGATATTTACTTTACTTTTTATTGAATTTCGAGTAATTCAAGTATCCAAGTGACGAACTCGTCCGTGTTTATTTTTCTGTGGCAGCTGTATAAACAAATTTGTATCCACTGAAAGCTTTGGGTTAAACCTTGTACATATATATATATATATATTTTTGTTTAACATGGCGAATAAAACTTTAAATAAAATATTAATAAGACATACAAAAATATCTTCTTTTATTATTTACTATATCTTCGCGAGAGTATTGCTCATGGATTGGTGACGCCTTCGCGACGAAAATGAGTTTAAACATGACCGTAAACAGGTTATTTTTAATTTCTCTTAAAACTGAACGCTCCTAAATTCCACAAATACTATATAATAGTCTTATTTTTACTAGGAAGACCTCGCTAACTCATTCGTAATACTTTCAAACAAGTTCGGTGTTAGATATAACATTTTTTTGTTTGAATTTAGTAGTAGAAACATATAAAACTTTGTTATTTTTTATTAGAAATGATAATTTATTTTTTAGACAAACATCTACGATATCTCGTGGTTGTAAATAATATTATTTATATTGCTTAGGACTCTTAGGACAAAGTTGTGTCGATGTAAAAACATTCTCGTGGCCTAAGAAGGTTGCAAAAAGTTGCAAAAATTGGTCAGGTGTCTTCGTCATACCAGTGCCTTTTTATATAAATTTCACCCATTCCGTTTCTGCCGTTGCCGCGATACTCCAGTGTCAAAAAATGTCCGCCGGAAGCGTCTGACAAATGGAGCCGCGTTAAGATAGAAGCTGCTCCGGAGTTTCCAACCGCGCGAAATAGTTGAACGCCGTGGCTCGCGGCTGGGGAGCTGAGAAAGATGCGAACCTTGCACGACCAGATTATTTTTCCGACCGAGTGTACCCTGTGGAATTCCACGGTCACCCCAGCCGAGAAAGGTGACTGCACCTTGAATCGACTCACGACGAGCCGTTCTCGACCGTGCAGAAGCTGGATTCCAGCCTGAGGAGCTTTGATTCCGGAATAGCTTTCCGAACAGCTACGCCCAGCCGATTGTTTGGGGAAAACCTCCGGGAAAATCCTTCTGCGCGTTTCCACCGAGAGACTTCGTCAAGCTTCTGGAAATCGCGATCGTTTCTATCGAGAACCGTTCAACCTTTGACTTCGATGACTTCGACTCCGTTTCCCCCGATTTCGACTTATTTGTTTTCGAATAAACTGTTCGGTTAGCTTGTATTTGCATGATCCTATGGTAAAAGTTTTTACACGATTCCTCCTACTATTTCCACATCTAATTCAAGTCTGGAATTCTACATTTATTTTCATTCGCGGCAGGCTACGTGTTGGATAGATATTAACGCGAGAAATTTCTATGCGTCCATTTAGCCTTTAATTATGATACAGGAAACGTAAATACAGCTGAAACATTAGTATCATTATTCTTTTAATTTTGCTTTTATAATTCTCTGTTTACTTATCCTTTATCTCGAACCAAGAATTGATACATAAACGATCGACTTTAAATTCCCTCGGGAAAATCGTTTTTTGCTTTTCAACCGAGCATTAATTAAGCACAAAGATCCTTGTTGGGAATGCGATCACGCTAACGCTCGTGTAAACTGAGCTTATTTTCTCAATGGTTTTAACGCATAAACGCAAAAAAGCAATTCTAGTAGTTTACTACCTCTGAACACTTTATTCGCTGCTGAATGAACGCTTTATCCGCGGCACACGTACCTTGGTATCGAATTTCTGTCTGCAACAAACAAATGTTAAAAATTCAGAAGCTGCCCTGTACGTTTGTCTGATCCACCACATAAAACTGCGCTCGAAAAATAACGTTTGTGTCAGGGTAAAACATTTATTAGTCATTTGTCTTTCATTCCTCGACAAGGTATCGATATTTTTGTCAAACAATTGTCTATTTGATTTTCGAATAGATGAAATGCTTCAGTTTACTACCTTGGATTACTTCTTTTTTCTTCATCTTCGGCACGTGATAAAAGTGATTAAAATGAGAAAAATTTCTGCGTCAGAAACACAAAAGGAACTCGAGGTTCTCGGTACGGTTCTCCATCGCAAGAAAGTCTCAATATTTATATATATATAAGCGTTGCTTCAACGCATACAAAATGTACTAAACTTCGACAGTGTACAAAACGAGCCTAATTCGTTTCGATGGTTAAATCTTGAGCGCATGAGTATCCTGTGAAGCCAACTGATGGCACATGTGCCCGCATGTGGCTTTCGTTGGCGAAGATTCGAGCACTGTGCCTTCGGTTGCCTTGGCTCTTCGGTCTGCACGCGACTCGAAACGCACTGTATCCAAAGAGATTACTCTTTGACCGTATCACGACTTCGTATCGTCAATAGTTTGTATTGCGTGTGCACGTCTCGATCAGAAATCTAAGATATTTCAACCGATGAATGATAATCCCAATTATGCATCCGAAACCGTCTATAGTGACGGAGATGCTTGCGTTCTATCTTATCCAACTCGTCCCGACGAGATGCTCGCGGGATCGAAGTCGAGTAACTCGGAACCCAACCTAACGATAAGTCAGCTCTAAGTATATCAGATCTTATTTTTTAAGCAGCGTTAAGGGTTTCCGAGGAAGACGACAGCGCTACAAGGAAACGCCGATGGGTAAACAGAACTGGGTAAAATTTGGGAAGAAGTATATTTTAAATGACGAATACTGCGTAGAATAAAGTATTTTAAGTGGGAAGCGACACTTCGGCGGATGAAATATTTTTATTTTGGTAACCTGACGCATTGAGGGAAATATTTTAACTTTGTATTTCGAATTTGTACTTGAAATATTGATTAAAAAGGAAGATGAATTGAGGAAAGAGATGATGATATGAAACAAGAAAATATGACATTCGACAAAGCATGCGTAGTTTTAGTTTTTATTTGAAGACAAAGCTGATCTACATAATATATTTTTTAAATGTTTCCGAAAATACTGAATTAAAATATTTCGAAGTGGAGCCTCATTACTTTTTCATATCCCGAAGAAAAGAAGATACTATTTTAAAAATATACGAAGTGAGCTATTTCATTTGTTACGCGCACAATTTCGAATAAAATAGGTGATTTACCATTGGAATTAATATTTTACCCAGCTCTGATGAAAAGCACAGATGATCGATTACAAATGGATCTCGAACACCGTTTGATCACGTTCACTTTTTTTCAGCGATCGAGCCTGAGGATGTTCGTCGCGCTGTACGAAACCTTAATTAGTGTCCAATTGTAATTAACTATATTGTAATTGTAAATGTCCGGGGTCAAGTATCGTAGGTAGTCGACGGAAATGAAGAGGGTAATTACTCTATTACGATAGGTGAGGGCTAAGAAAATTATATATTTTACGATATGACTGTCGTACTAAGCGCAGGGTGGTGAGAATTGAATTAGGCGAATTGCCATCGTATCGTATTGCTAGTCAATCGACGCGCGTTGATAGGGGGAAGGAATCGATAAGAGAGACGAGAGCGTGGTAGATAGCGTGATCGAGTAAAAATTAATCGTGTCACGAATATTAAATTATTGTACAAAATTTAATGCCGATAGTTTGTAAGGCCTATCGTTTTACGAGATCGACGTATGTTTGTATCGTACAACGTATCTAGTACTATGCGCCAGGTCGCAGCGGCGCTCAACCTCGTATCTATGCACACGATATACATTCATGTTCCTTTCGCATACGAGGGACCAGCTGGAGTTCTAACTGGTTTCGAGTAACATAATCTAACGTAACCCAATTTTTCAAAAATACCTGACCTAAAAAAGACATTCTAGATGAATCTTACTGCCAAGTCTAAGTAACAACCTCGAATGTGTTCTTCTCAACTTGGTACTGAGAATATTGCTTGTTTTGTAAAGAAAGTTTTTTTTTTTTTTAACATACTGGCAATATGTATAGGGAGTGAATGTCTCTAAAAGGTGAACGACTCAGCCTCTTTCAATCTCTGCTACATTCTGATCGGTTTGCAAATTCCTCAAATGGCGGGAACGTTCCTACAGACGAAATCTTCACGTTTCCCAACTTTCTTCTTATTTTATAAACGGGACTCGAGGATTTCGCGGAAGTTTCTTTTAACACTTTATCGATCGCAAGATTCAAAGCGAAACTTATGCTCGCCGTTTTCTCGGGACACGACATGCTTGAATATTCTCAAACTATTTGTCAACTCTCGAAACATCATCCAGAAGTATCTGTTTTTAAATGATTAACTTCTTTGACAAATTTTAAAAGATTTAGCACATGAAATTGTAGCCAGAAAAAAATATTGCTGGAAGAAATTAAAATCGAATTCAGCGCAGTTGACTATGCGCGATAAAAATTCTCACGTTAACGAAGTTGTATTGTACTCGAACCAGGAAGAGCTCTCACTGACCTGTTCCAGTAGCGGCTGACTTCGGTGTCCATCCCCAGTTCTTCGACCTCGTAAACTCTAAATCGTTTCCAATTTCAAAAAAAAAAAAAAAAAAAAAAAAAAAAAAAAAAAAAAAAAAAAAGACTGAGGGTCTCACGAGGCTTCACGAAGCTGGCAAGCATTGGAGTGACCAACCGAGGAAACGCGTTTGAAAATTCGTATCGGGGCATCGGCTGGCAAAACGAGAGCAAACGTGCGCGCGATGACATGTACATTCGTGTAAAGCATAGCGGAGCCTTATTGAGAAAGCAATATGCATCCTTAAACAAAACAAAACTGCTTAAAAGTATTTTCAAGCTGTTAATTCTACTCGAATAATTAATTCCTATACTAAGTAACGTCGAGACGTCTTGGTTCTCGCAAAACGCAGCCGTCTTCTGCTGGCACGTGACCACGTTTCGATTATCTATCTATATATGTAAACCAGAGATGGGCAAAATTTGATTCGACATGTAGATAACGAATAACAGAAAACAGATAGCGTTTTATTCGCTACTTTTACAAAATCGAACAATTAAAGCTTTCGTTTCTTCGCTGTGAAATATTTCATTCCACGAATCGAGGTCTAATGTTTATTTAACGAGTATCGGATAAACAGTTGTCCATCTTTTGTTCGCTTTGGAATTTATCTCAAGTTTTTACCCATCTCTGTAACCCACGGATAGCTCGTTCAAACTTTAAGCGTCCTGTTTCCAACGCACAATGTTTTTACTTGTCCCCCGAGCGATTGATATGTTTACTTCGATCGTTTGCACTGCCATGTAACGCTTAAACCGTGTTTACTTTCATGGGAGACTGGTTTTTCCCTCTTCGACGCGATCAAAACCGTCGTTTCCACTTTATTAGTCACTTTTCCGCGTTTTTGTAAATATCGTGGACCGCGATGTATGGCCCTGGTGACATAATTTATATTACTAATACAATCGGCTCCTTGCGGTCGGCCATTTTGGAGAGCTAAAATAGGGTTACTTTGCATTATACGGAATATCTTTTCGTGAGAAATTGAAGAAGATTAATCCATCTTTCTCGTCATGAAAATTAATTAATGCAAAGTAACCCCCTTTTTTCACAATTCTTCATGTTTCGGGAAGCAGCGGATCTCTAAGGAGAATCCAACTCTGTACTCTCTTCCTTGTATAAAGGATAACAGTATTAATACAGCCCACTGTATATCAAAAATGGTAAAAATATCGTATCAAGCCATCGTCTGCAAGGAGTTAAAACAAAATGTTCTTTATAAAGCATTTCTCGTTACACCGAAAAAGTTGCTTACGAAACGGCACGCTGTAACGTATACGTCATTGAATATTGCAGCGACCGTTTCGAGGAAAAGGCTGTTTCACGATTAATATTTGTTTTCCAAGTTGCGTTTGACATTGGTACATGTGTGTATGCATGTTCGAGGAGTCGATATTATACCGTGGGCCACGACCAGTCATCTCGGGGCTGCTTGTAAATACACTTCCGATAATAGCGTGTGTAAGAATCATTCGTCGCCTATAAGATACGATTTTCTCCCATTTAATGAATCTTTATTAAAATGTACGATAAAGACGTCGAGCGTTTGGTCCTGATTCCGCCGGTCATTATTTTCATCGCTTCTAGGAGCGGTTGGAACCGATCGAGGCTGTAAATAATGTTGCGAATGAGACGGCGGGAAAATGGCCGACGGAAACGCGACGTTGCTCGAGGAAAAATAGTAGCGTATGCTCCGTATTTTGGCGTAAGGAATAAGCGAACGTGGAAGACTCGTAAAAACCGAGTGAGACGGTGATTTTTAGCGAGTCGTTGGGCCATAACATAGGTCGCTAAATATAATATTATAGGGATATTCCAGCGTTATTTTGTACATAAACAACTTTATCAACGGATATTAAGAAGTCATCAATAAATCTATATATAAAAAGTATGATTCCTGTTGTATTATCTTCCAACAAATCCCCCTTTATCCTAGCAGATAAATAAATTAATTATCATCGAGCTCAACGCACGGAGACGCGATAAATGTAAATCTAATCGGATCGATTTACGATACGCTAATATTCGCGTTGTTAATTTTGAAGAAAAATCGATGGAGTTGGTTCTGTTGTAACACAAAACATTTATTCCGTTAAACATTTATGTAACAATACATGTAGATAGGATCGTACAATCGTTTCACCATTATGTACAAAAGCTATATTTATTCATACTGAAGCTTTGGTATAAGCAAATATCGTGTGTTCCCCTGGTGTGTGTAGATATAAATTAAATCTTGACAAACACTATACGCTTAACTAATTGAACGACGAAACTTGAAACATTCGGAATGTTTTTTTTCCCCATTCATAAAGCAACGAAATACAAATATTACAAAAATCTTGTTTCCCTTATTTAAAAAATGAACACTCACGATTTTATAATACACAGTTATAATAGATTTTACGACAATCTGGAACAACAATACACATATCGGCGCAAGCGATATCCATCTCTCTGGTTTGCTTATCGTTTTTGTAAAAAAAAAAAAGAATGACAATTTGTCGTTCTATATTACGAATTGTATCGTGGTTTATTCAACTTTCACGAGAAATTACTACTTTTTTGTTTCTTTATGAAATCTTCGTTATCTCGATTAACAAATTGTGGATAATATTTCGTACAAAGCAACTAGTTCACATCACGTAATAGTCACAAATTCTGTTTCTTGTGTTAATTAATGTTTTTTAGTCATTGCAATCCCGAGACCAAGGATACTTGCAACGCCAATAATAACCCCTCCTGCGATGGCCATGCCGTAGAGACCCTCTGTAAAAAAAAATGTATCGTACTAACAGTATATAACCACATCATTTCTCGAAACAGAACTGATTAACGATTCTTATCTATCTACTACCAATAATAGTGGAAAGATACCTTTCTCCATTTTTTTCTTAATCAGTGTCTCCAAATGTTGTACTTGCTGATTGCCAGGTTCGACTCTAAGGAATGCTCTAACGAATGCTAAAGCTTTCGAGTATTCCTGCAACACATGATGTTTAATTAATTGATATTTAAATGTAAAAGTCTGAATGAATCTTTAAGAAAAAATTTACCTTTATTCTAGCATTCCCAATAGCTAAATAATAAAGACAATCTCGTTTTTCACTGTCACTATGATTGCTATACAAGTCTTCCAATAACAATATTCCTTTTTGAATATCAGCTGGATATTTACTTCTAACAAGGCACCATGCATATTCAAATTGTGCCTTCTGCGTCACAGATGCTGCACGTAATTGTTCATGATAAACACGTTCAAATTTCTGAAACAAGTAAACATATTTTACATACAAGCATATATGTCAATATGATGCAATAATTGAAGGATGATTAACTCCTAAATGACGTCATCATCTCTTTGTAACTAAAACATTTCAAGTACAGTACTGTGTTATATTTACTAAAAAAAGTATACTTATGTAACTCATATTTTAAACATCGCAATAACACTTCTGAAACACTGCACTCTTATTTTAGCAAACGAACAATAACCAAAGACCTTAAAACGAGGAAAACAATAATTAATTCCGCATAACCTCTACAAATTCTCGAGACGTTCGATACAATTGTACATTAAAAACGAGGTTAACCAGAATAGAAAATTGTGCTGTAAACGAAAGAGTTGGTTTCGACACTTTATCTGTTGTCCTAATTATTGTACAAAGAAACGTGAGCAAGCTAAAAGTCATTTCCATAGTATTTTATCGGAGGTACTTACCTTTAAATCGTCAGAAGAAACAACTTCTTCCAGTACATCCTCCATCTTCTAATATAGATTCACACGAACTGCACGGGAAAACAATTTGTCTTATCCTAAATTCTACCTTAAGAGAAAAGAACTCATCACAAATCCACTAAATGCGTTCCGGCAAATCGTACTGTCAAAGGCAAAGAAACAATAAAGTGCACATATACCTTTCCGTTTGACACTGCTATTCATTGGCGAAATAGCAACGCGGCATTACACGTGAGATTTAAATGATTTTACAAACAAAAATGGCTAGAATTCTTATCTAGATAAAAATATTGGATAACGAATAAAAGATAAACAATTGTGTATCTGAAAATTGTCCGAAATATTTTATGATTGATAACTAGAAATTTAACTTATGAAAAATTTGATAGTATAATATAAAAATTTTCTGTCTCACAGCAAAAAAAAAAATGAATTATATAATTATAAATATGTATATTATTACATATAAAAATAGTGTGCATATAAAAAAGGGAATAAAAATTGTGTGAACCATTTGTCTTATAAACATTTATTACAAAATAGATTATTTAATATTTATTACAAAAGTTAACTACATTTTGTATGTATTATGTATTATTCGAAAAAAGTTCATTTAAACGTTTTGTCGTCGCGTATAAAGGCATTCCCATTACACAATAAAAATCACCATTAATTTTTTCAACTAAACACCCACCAAGTCCTTGTACACCGTATGCTCCTGCTTTATCCCTACAACAAATGTTGTAAGTAGCAATTATTTCACATAACGCAAACTACTACTTGTGTGTAAAAAGGGAACTTTATGCTCACATAGGTTCTCCTGATTGTATGTACATTTGTATTTGTTCTTTTGATATGTCTCCAAATTTTACCTTTGCAGACTCATAGAAATTTATTTCTTTTTTGGGTGTTTTTAAACACACTCCTGTGTAAACTGTATGTTCTTTATTTGCTAAACTAAAACATAATTCATCAGCAACTTATCAATTTAATTTAAAGGTAATTATTTTACCTTGACAACATTTCAAAGGCCTGCGACTCATTCTTTGGTTTGCCATAAATAGTATCACCCATTGCGACCAAAGTGTCTGCACCAATTATTAAAGAAGGTGGCACAGGATCTCCTTTTAATCTGTCGTACACTTCTTGTACTTTATACTTTGCTAGATCTTGAACATATTCTCCATTATTTTTATATGCACATCGGTCCAAATTCTCATCATACACAGAGGCCACTACTTCCACATTTATACCCTAGTATACAAAAAAGTTAACTACAGCAAAAGATTTATTTCTGTAGTATTTACACAATAATATTTTTTTTAATATTCTTTAAACATTCCTAAAGAATGTACATTTTGTTCAAATATGTTCTTCAATATTAATATGTGTTTTTTTCATTATAACAAAGGAATTACCAATTTTTTAATTATTTCATAGCGTCTTGGAGATCCACTAGCTAAGACAATTCTGCCTGCTGTTAAAGTTTGCATTGTTTGTTGCAACATCTTTTCTCTAATGAATTAATAGAACGTTGAATAAAAGGAATTTTAAACTTTCAAACTTTCTTGCATAAATTTTAACACGTATTTATTGTTTGCATTCGTGGTATGCGTACAAAATTAAATGCTCTTGCACGCACGTGACGCGTTAGTGTTATTAACTTTTATTAGTGAATCTAACGTTTCCAGATGTCGCCAGGTATTACATCTTCCGGCACCAAGAATACGCGCGAGTCCAATTTCTTTTTTTTAAATAATGAATCTAAAAACTATGCGAGTCTACTAATTAAAATGTATACAATGTAAACTCCGATGAATTTCATCATAAGCTGTCGAACTCTAAGTATCGAAACTACTGGCCGTGACAGGATAATGGATGTCCTTAACAGGAAAACTGGCGGGGGGTCGCCCGACACAATTCTTTCATTTGACGCATTTCAATAACATCTATGTTTTGAATTCTATAGTTTTATTTTGTATAGTATTACTTGTTTTATTTGTCTTTATTGTAAATTGCTTTATATTACATTTTGGTCGTGTTTTTCGTGGGCCATTAAGCATTTTATCAAAAGGGGGGAAGTATCGCTATCGGTAAAAATTTGTTTCCCTGATATTTCGTATTTCTTGGTGATTTAGGGCGTTGTAAATCTATAATTCTAAAAAACGGTTATTAAAAAATTGTCTATGCATATGATTGAGTCTTGACATTGTTACAACGAGTGTCATGTTTTATTTTGTAAATTAGAGTAACGTTCAGAGACGAAGTAAATTAAATTCTCCAATGACCACTTTTTTTACATATTTCACGCATAATTTTCCCAAAATATTGCACAGTCCAGAGAGTTCTACATGCCTCTCGTTGAGAATCTCTGCTTTGGCGAACTCGTTAAAAGGTTGTAAACGCGATTAATGGGCGAACACTTTATCGAGGGCGGATGGTTAAAAGGGGGATGAGGCGCGTGTTTAGAGTGGTTTAAAAATATTAGAGCGGGAGGGAGAATTATTTTCTAGGCACAGAAGACTCTAATACATCGTAATCGGTAAATTACGTAAATGCCGCATGCCATGAACGAACCTAAAGGTCAGTCAGTCCGAGGTCTTACATAATCGCAAGGCGAAAGGTTGACCCATCTTTACGCCGCAGCCTTCTTAGCTGAACAAAGATTTCGCGGTATTTTTTCGCCATACCTCGCATTGTTTCGACGTTGCAACGATCTCGACTGTCGAATTAATTAATTCAGAACGATCAATAATAAGTGTTCGACACCTTGCGCTAGGCTTACTTCTGCTAGGAACTCTGGGAGGAGTTCAATAACGTCGAAACACATTAATGGAAATGTAAACTCATGTGTTGATTTATAAAATGTATTGGTAAAGTTAAACGAAAGTATTTATATTTATGGTTTATTATAAAGTTCGGCTTAAGACTAAAATTATTAATAATTTCTACAATATAATCAATCTAGTATTTTATTATTTATTTATTTACACCTGGATATTTGGAAGTATTTGAAAAGATGGGGTCGTAGGAACTCAGTCCTCGATATCTAAAATAATTCTGGACAAACCTGATGTTCTTTAAGATTAGAATTTTTGGCAAAGAAATTAATGAACAGAAACGCGTTATCGGTAAAATACGATTCTGATTCACAAGCGATAACAATCAACCAGCAAACTGAAACTTGGAAAAGAAGGTGATTGAAATGCCGTAATGCTGTGTGAAGAGATGGTATTTAAGATTTCTCCATAAAATTGATTGCATTATTTTGTAATAAATTTAGCAAGCTCGTCTAATAACGACGTAAAAATAAATTGCGTAGCGCCGAGGAATTAAAGTGATCGATCAGTTTTACTTTTTATTTCGCCCAAGTTTATGGTAATTTCAAAGGAACAGGAAGGTTTGAGAGGGACGTATTTGTTGCAACAAAAAATGCAAATTACACGGAATTCTTGAAGATACCGTGAAAACAACACGGTTTATCTGAAGATCTACATAATCAGAGGCTATGACGAGTAGGATATTAAAAACCAGTTATTAAAGGGTATTCATAGACAGCATGCCAAGATAAACGCAGATGATGTATGCTATTGTTATTTCATGCCTTTGCTTTTTTACGGAATCGCCAATTCACGGAAATGGAGATTTACTGAGATCAGAAAGCATTCTTCGCTAAAGCAGGAAATTCGCTCCACGGTTTGTGCGATTACAAGGTGCGATGTAAGTCGGATCGAATGTAAGCTACTTACATATCTTGATGACTCGCTTTTAATATCCTTTTATAGTCCAATACATCTGTTGAAATTTTATAAGGTCACAATCTACACGAACACATCTTTTATTTTTGCCATTTCACTCTCTTCGTTGTATTTATTTTAATAGAGCATTACTAAAATACTGAAATTAAAGAAATTTTTAAATATAGTGAAACATGAGAATATCGCATGACTCACCTTACGAATAAATACTTATTCGCTGCTCTTTGCTACAGAAATGAAATAAAAAATGATTCGTTACTCGTTATCGGGATGAAATTGCGGCCAACACCGTTTACCAAGTAATCAAGGCTAACTGGATAGTGCGATTAATTATTACAATCCCAATTAAGGGGGACAAGACAGTGTAAGATGCGTCGTCGTCGCTCATCCTGGTTACGAAATCGACAATCGATAAAGAAGGTCAGAAGATCTGGCTATTCCAGTTCGGCAGAATTACAGGTTTATTTATAGTCGAATGGTACTTTTCATTCGCGCGTGTTAGAAATTGGCGAACTTACCTATCTAATAGGTGAAATTTCCAACGCAGAGCTTCTATTACCGAGCCAGTGAAATGCTGCGTGGGCATCGCGAAAAAAAAAAAAACTTACTGATCCGAGTGACCAAACGTGTTGAGTAATTACGAGGATGTTGCACTGCGCATCTGCTTCGGACATTACATAACAATATTACATATCGAGTGTTAAACGTTGTTAATCACGATACAAAGTTAATACGCAGTCGTATGACGGCCGTGCATTCAGTTCTTTCGCAGAAAAAAGAGCGTAGGTGCGTTACGACATCCTCGTAATCGGCCTCGTTGCCATCTTTAGTTTCCATTTTAATCTTTTCGCGTTTCTGCTTCGAAGAGAATTATCGACGAGTCGCGAGAATTTGTCAACATCGTTTTTATCGGGGAATTTTTCATTCAGGCTCGCTTCGACTTCGGATCATTCGATACGTTTACCTACAAGTGATCCACATAAATGTCCCATATTATTTCATCGTTCGTGTTCTGTCAACTATTAGAAACTATTTGAAACTTTTGAAATATATACCGAAACCATTCATAGACCACGAAAAATCCTCGCGACAACACTTTAAATCAGACCCTCGACTTTCGAACGAGCAAAACTCACCTCCACTCGGCGATCGGTTCCTTCTCTGTAATAAACATGCCACCGTCCAACCGTGATACTTGGATTCAAAGAAATCCTCGAAACCTGTTCAACGATCACAATCTGCGCGTAAAGATCACCTCGGATCCTCGTTCCTCAAAATCTCGTTCATCGACCTCGCGGCATCGAAAGGTCTGGAGTTCTGTCTTCTTAATCCCGATTTGTAAGTTAATCCCGCTCCTTAACGCGTTACCCGCGGGTTTCTCCGAGCGGGCGGGATGTTTTGCAACGCTGGTAGGAATCTGCAATGATTCTGTTGGACGGCGAAGTCGTGAAAATTCACATCGCGCCGGCGTCCTTTAAAGTGTCATGAGGCTGAAGCAGGTAAAGTCGTGGCCGAGCCTGCCGAGGCGCGGGTAATCGTCAGGCTATCGTTATTAAATGCGATTACACAACACGAAAAGCGGCTTCAAAGGATGGCGGCATTATGGCACTGGTCGTTTCCATGGGGGGCTACGTCATGGCTCGAAGTGGCTGCGTTTAGCATTACGGCTAATACGTCCTCGATCAGGGGCGTAATCGAACAGAACTTGATCCCGGAACAAGGACATTTTCCCCTTTATCTGATGTGACACTCTTAGGCGACAGTGGACCTCGGGGAATGGGTTGTGGTTCCGCTTGGGATTCGCTGCTGACTGGATACTCGGTTGACCATGTGCGTTTCTCTATAACTTAACTTTTTGAAGCACGCGATTTGAAAGAAGTATTTCACGATACTTGTGTTGGATAAATCAATGATAACACGAGGAAACACAAAATGTATTCGACACGACTTTATTGCTACGCTTTGCGTTTCTCAAACCCAACTAAGGGCCTTTTCGGCAACGGGCCTGTCCGTTGTCTCGACTTCTAACGCTTGGAATTACAATTCATTTTTTATTATAGAAAGATTTACTTATTCATAACGGCTAAGTTACAAATACCCCACCATGTGTAACATGGTAAGCAAAAGATGAAAGAGTTTTTAATTTTATGTAATTTTATTTACCACATTCAGTCAGAGTTGTCCTGACTAAAACTAGTGTTCTTTCCAATTTTTCCGAGTAACATTGAATATCACGCGTTGGAAAGTAACGCTACGTATCCGACTCCGTCGATTTTTTTCTTCGATCCATTCCTGTACGCTGACATATCCATGCCCGCGGGATCTATCCGAGGGGTCTCTCAGCTGATTCGATGTTCTCGGTGCATGATTCGTTCATGCTTGTGTACAGTCCCGTCGGGCAATCGCGACTCGTCGATCCATCCGTCGGAATGCAAATGGCACTTTTAACGTACTGGGGAAAAGGATGAAAATGTCTCGACGCGGATAGCGCGGTGCAGTCATCGAACGAGTATTTTTCTTTCTCTTTTCAATGTGATCGTGGGATGATCAGACGGTCGCGCAGACTACACAGCTCGAATAGTTAAACAAACGATGCGTCCCACGATTATTATCAGTTAAAGAATCGTTTAATACGAAGTACACGATACGAAGGTGTAGAACAAGGTTTACAATTTCAACGAATTTTATTATTTTAAGAACTGGGGAAATTCTGTTGGGCATATCGAAGACACAGGAATGAATGGAAAGAAAATAGCGCGATATCCATTAGCTATAGTAAAAGAATGATTAACGTTCTCGAGTGTCCCGCGTTAATTTAGTATCGCCCGTTATTCTAACGTACCACACTTCGTTAACCACAGTTTTTCGTCTTATCCTGTAACTCAATCTTACTCCAATTTCGTTTGAAGAATCTTTTTCTACCGT